ATTCATATTCATGACCAATTTATTTATTTATAAGAAATGTCAGATATATATACAGTATTATATAATGGATGACAATTCATGATCAAAGGTAAAATGTTGATTTGATGAAGTCAATGAAAAGTTGAAAAGTAAATAATATGTAACAAAAACCAAGCCTATGTATTAAAAGCATTCAATAAAGAAATACTATATTAATTTTTTATTTATTATAAACATTTTATTTTTATCAATTTGAAACTAAATTTCCTTCCCTCCATCCGATATTAAGTTTTTCAAATTTGCGTGACGATCTTCAAGCCAATAAAATTTAATTTTTGCGTGATATCTGGAAGGGAGATCGTCACAATGAAATCAAATGTCCACTATGCTTTTTCAAGTTTATTAACCAATTTGTTCGAATGAATGGTAGAAATAGATCGTGGTGGTGGAATGGAAAGGATGGTAGGTTTTGATGTGGTGTCTTTGGATAATAGAGGTTTCTATGATAAAACGAACTTGAAAGTGCATAATTTCTGTGATTATGCCTAACTGGACCAATATTTGGAGATTGTTGATTTACAATTTCTTCTTCAGTTTCCATAAGAAATTTTTTTTGGATATCGATCGTTCTTTAGGGGAATACCCCAAATTTCAAGATTTATTACTAGTACTAGGCAGTAATATATAATTGATATTACTATTACTATTACTATTATTGTTATTGTTATTAGAGATCAAGTTTAAATATATTAAGTGCTCGCATATTTTTGATCAATTCATTATAATTTTGTGAGCGAATTTATCACTTAATATTAGTATTAATAGTATTAACACATCACGATATTTAACGGTGATTTTTTGGCGATTTCCTGAATTGAAAAAATTAGATTATATCTATTTATGTATTATTATTATATGCAATCTATAAATTTATGTACCATTTATTAAAATTGAATGTTTATCTATTAATATCCCTTCCATGAATTATAATACCTTTTTATTAACAATACAAATAACGAAATTAATTGAATTGATCGAATAAAGTAGGTAAATGCGGTCATTGTGTAATATTTGAAATTTTTGGGGAAATTTGAAATTAAAAAAATTTAAATAATTTAATAACAATAAACTTTTGTTAATCAATAAATTAACCAATTACTGCTAAAATCGAAAAAACTATATATTTTGTCATACAAATAAATAAATATAAAATCAACTATAGAAAATTTATTAAATTAAAAAAAATCTTTTCTGTAAAATATTTTATTATTGTTAATGTTTCTTTCTTTTTTTTATAAAAAATCCAAGAAATAAAATTTACACAAATCTTCCACACTCCTTTCAAATTCCAACCTTTTCGTATTCAGATTTCACTACTGAAAGTGGTGAATCGTTTAAAATTTTTGGGGTGGTTTGTACATTTGTTTTTTGAAATTTTGCTTCTCACATTCGTTTATCATACCAAAATATCAAGTCACAGGTCTTTTTTATTAAAAAAAAAAAAAAATGCCAATAATCACTACAACAAATAAAACTGCTACTTGTACTTGGACACCTTTAGCACAATTTGCCTATGGATTTGCTATTTATCCTTTTACTCCTGGCGCACAAAACAATTCTTCATCAGATTCTACCAAAGCTCAAAGTATAAAAGAATCAGTACCGATAGTTAATAATAATAATAATGACAGTAATATAAATAGAAACAATCCAGATGCTAATAAAAAGGTTGATGATGCCATTGATTTGAAATCTAAAGAAAAAAAAAAAGAGCTAATTTCTGAAAATGGTACCACAACCGTTGTTGTTGACGACGACGATAAATCAAATTCTAAAATTGATTCTGATTCAATAGTTTGTAATTCTAATCATGAATCACAAGATCATGATCTCCAATCTGACAATAATAAAGATAATGATGGAAAGGTTTTAAGCGAATCAGGAGATCGTGAAAAAAATATACAAAGGGATAATAATAGTAATAGTAATGATAATATTAATAATTCTTCAGATTCAGTATCAATGACTTCAAAGCCATATACAACAAACTCACATGTAATATCATATCAAGTTGCACTTGAAATTGGTGACGAGGTCTATGTTTTTGAAGAGCAAGGTGCTTGGTATCGTGGTTATGTTGTTTCTAAATTACATCAAACTGAAGAACCTCAAGTATTTGTTGGAATTTTCCCAAAAAATCACGTTTATATAAAAGAATATCTTGATGATATTGAATTACAAGCTACTGAATCAACAAAATCTTCTAATGATGCTGCTTCATTTACCTCTACTGCTAATGAAAAAGAGAAAATTATCTCTACTAATGACAATGATAATGACGATAATAATGATAGTGATAATGATGATAATACTAGACCTCCTCCGCCTCTGCCTTCACTTGAATGTGGTGATGATACGATAAGTGGAAAGAATGAGCCTTTAATAGACGAGATTTCAAGTGCAGTCAGAGAATGGTGTAGCCTTTTGCCTACTTATTTGGAAGAAAGAAAATATTCCATGTTTAGAACTGTTAAAGATCAAATAAATGATTTATTACAGGGTCGAAGACAATTACTTGCTCAAACCCTATCTCATGATGAGCTGATCCAACTACGTAAAGAACTTATCAATAAACTTGTTTCAGGTAACATAATTCAAGGCTTAGATATTGTTGTTAGGCATCCAGAAAAAGGGTTTCTTGCTGATGAAACAAATGTATCAGCTATTCGTCTATATCAATTGCAAGGTCAGTTGTCAATTCCTAATACAGAAAAATTGAAACATGATTCATCATTATCTTTCAATAGTCCTACTACTATTTTGAATTCGTCATCATCGTCATCACCACCTATAACATCATCGTCATCCTCCACCACTTTATTACAAAATAATTCTTCATCCATAACAACCCCAATAAATACCACTAATGATAGTCTTAGTCATACACCAAAGTTTTATCATGTATTTTTGGATTTAAAAGCCTTGGTCGCTTCAATTTCCACTTTTGGCGAATACACAGAGTTATATTTTTCTTTGTACACAAAGACAGATTCAAGATTTCTTACAGGAGAATATTGTACTATACTCGATCGTAATAATATACCAAAAGATGAATCGAAGATTCATAAAATTAGAACATTGTTTACTGATCTTTCCTCTCACGACATTCAAGAACGAGTCTTTCTTATTTGTAGAATCATTCGTACAGGAAGTATGAAAATGGAAAACAAAGATAAAGACATTTCAAAAGACAGCAACTCTATGAAATCACCATCATCATCTTTTTCTTCGCAAAACAATCACAATACAAAATCACAAACTTTTCGTAGACCTTTTGGTTGTGCTATACTTGACATAACTCATTTGATTCAAGGAAAAGAAAAAGAATCTGCGAGTGAACATGCAATGCAAATCTATGTGCCCACCCAAGAATCCACTTTTGCTATTTTGCATGAAGATATTATTTATAACCGTGTCAAAGAATTTGAAAAATCTTCAAGAGCAGAAACAATCAGTGTATCAATTCGTTCATTTTATGGTGAAGCTGCAACAATCATCAAGGAAAATTCTGATCTACTCCAAGATATCACTATTACATCTCGTCTCGGATTTGCTGATGTGGTATTTCCAGGTGATGTAAGAAATGAAATTTATCTTAAACTTTGGTCTGGTGATTTTACTCAGGGTAGAGCTACAACTGCCAGAAATATTCAAGTAACAGCAGTAGTTAGATTGGATTCTGGGGAAGTTTTAGAAAATGTCATTTCTCAAGGATCTGGTGAACCACCCGTAACATATTTCGAATCAATTGTTTTTTACCATTCAAATAATCCAACTTGGGGTGAATTTATAAAATTGACAATTCCATCTGATTTGTTTGAGCGAGCACACGTTTTCCTAACCTTTAAACATCGATCAACAAAAGATAAAAAAGAAGATAAAATTTTTGCTTTTGGATACTTACCACTATTTCCCGAAAAAAGAGCATTCATTAATGATGGAAAACATACATTGTCTTTATATAAACAGGATAAACAATTAATAAATCCTTCATCTTATTTAAGTGTGCCCTGGTCATCATCAGCCACAATATCTGATACAGCTTCTATACATTCCACAAATAGTTCTAATATGTCATCACATAAATTGATCTCTTCATCAAAGGATACAGCTGTAGTTTGGACATATTTATGTTCTACAAAATATACACAGAACGAAGTATTACTTAAATTATTAAATTGGGAAAAACAATTATTATCGGATGAAAATGAGTTGAAGTCAGTTTTAAAAAAATTTACTTTCGTTGGTGAGGTGGAGATTGTTAAATTTCTTCAAGATATTTTTGATGCGTTATTTGGTATTTTGATGTCAGCAAGAAACCAACGAAGAGAATTAGATGATTTGATATTTAATGCATTTGTGACTATCCTTGGAATAGTTTCTGATAGAAGATTTATGAATTTTAGACCTGTACTTGATGTATATATCGAAAACCATTTTTCTTGTGCTGCTGCTTCATCTCACTTCATCAGATCAATGAACCGTTTAGTCTCTAATCCAACCAGTGTAGAAACTGCAAAAAATCTACGTTCTGCTATCAAGGTTTGGCAATATATTTTCAAATTTATTATGAGGTCCAGGGAACTACAAAGAACAAAAGAAGCAAATATGGGTCTGTCAGGAAATTATGTTGAAGAACAATTCAAAAATGATCTACTCTCTTTATTTAAAAGTATAGACAAATTGATGTCAATCACCACACCACAATCAATAATTGGCACTCAGACATTAGCTTTACAATATTTCGGTTCTATTTTCACTGATCTTGGCAAATGTTTTTCACCTGATGACCTAGCATTGATTGCAATACGATTTATTGAATCAGTTCGATTGCCTAAAGGAAAACTTTTGTCTTATAAACTTTTGGTGATTCTACAATTTTGTCGTGGTCCATTATTTGAAAATCCCGAGTCTAGAGCAACTCTAATACCTAGAATAGTTGAATGGCTTTCTGATCATATGGGTAGATGGGAAATTACAAATAAACCAACTAATGATCATGAAACTCTGAGATTACAATGGCAAGATGGTATTAGGTTAAGTGTATCTATTTTGGCGGTCATGTTGGAGTATCTACAGAATTCAATTGAGAAGGCTTCAAATGACGAAGAATCAACTAAAAGAGAAATTGAAAATGTGATAGCACTTCTTCCATTATTGATGAAACTTTGTGAATCTTATCGAGAATTGCATATTACTTCTTTTGATGAACATGGCAGTTTACATCATGAACGAACTCCAAATAATCTGGGAACAACAACATCAACCATAAATTCATATCGACACTCAAAAGATTTTCCCTTTTTCCAATCGTCAGACACAATCTCTAGTGGTTTGGGTGAGATATCAACAATTTTATTACAGGTAATGGATTTAGTATCGCAAAAAAACATGAAAGAACACCTTCTATCAACTTATTATAGAGAAGGGCACGATTCTACAGCAGAATTTCTGATTATTTTGTTCCAAGTAGCACGATCAGTGTTGATAAATGATGCATTTCCAAAATCATGGTTAAATATGAATATTATGACTCATAAAACCTTTTTAAAAGTTCTTGAACCAATATCAATAATGATGGAGAAAAATTATATACCAGATAAAAAAGCACCAGATTCATTTAATGAAGAGCTTTGGAGAGAATATTTCAATTGTCTTTTGTGCCTGCTTACCAGTAGACATCTAGTGATTGAAGATTTCACACCACAAAAACGTCGTGCAACATGGAGATTGGCAGGTGATATTCGTGGACAAGGAGCAAGATTATTATCAACGTTATGGAATGCTATTGGATGGGAACAGGGCAAAGAAGGAAAAATGGGTGGTTACCAAGTTCGATTCATAAACACTTTATTAGGTCCAATGTTGGAATTGTGTCTATCTCATCATGATGAGTTACGTTCTGCTGCAGTCACCGTTTTATTCAATATGATAGTAACACAATATACATTAGAAGGAGATTTGAAACAAATTGAATCTGACATTATTGATATATTGGATAGACTCTTTATGTCTGATTCTAAAGGTGATGAAGTGTCTCGCACATATTTTATTGTACAATTGAAAGGGTTATTTGAAGGATCTTTGGTTGATATTGACTTAAGAGATGCAATGATAAAGTTCTTGGATTCTTTAAATGAATTTTTGGAACTTTTACTTGGTGTTCGTGAATTACCTGAAGGTGAAGAATTCCAGGATGATCGAATCATGTGTACACTTAAACTTATGAGATTCATAAAAACTATTGAAAGGGATCAGATTTATATCAAATATGTGCATCAACTTGTTCAAATGCAAGTAAACAGTAAAAATTTTGTTGAGGCAGCATTAACACTAAAATTACATTCAGATTTATACGATTGGGATCCAAATATTGAAGTAAGAGCAATACCAGAATTAGAATTTCCCAAGCAATCAGCTTTTGATAGAAAGGAAAGATTGTATATTCAATCATTGGATTATTTTGTTAAGGGAAAAGCTTGGGAATGTGGCATAGAAATATGTAAAGAGCTGGCCAAACAATTTGAGTACACCACATTCGAATATCAACGTTTAAGCAATATACTTAAGCAACAAGCTGTACTTCATGAGAATATCATAAAGAAAGAACGTTATTTCAGTGAGTACTTTAGAGTTGGATTTTACGGTAGAGGATTTCCAGCCAGTTTACAAAATCGACAATTCATTTACCGTGGTCTTGAATGGGAAAAAATTGGTGCATTTTGTGAACATATGCAGAACAAACATCCACAGGCTCAACTACTTAAATCAAATAGTCCTCCAACTGATGATATTCTTTATGGAGATGGGCAATTCCTTCAGGTGTCAGCTGTAACGCCAGAACCAGATAAAAATCTTCCTTTATTTAAAAGAGATGCTCCATCATCTATTCGCTCCTACTATGAGTATAATTCTGTAAACACATTTAGTTTCTCTAGACCTGTAAATAAAAATCCTGATGGTGTTAAATCAGGCAATGAATTTTTAGATTTATGGACAGAAAAGACCATTTTAGTTTCTGAAGACCATTTCCCAACTGTTTTACGACGGTCTGAAGTGATTCAAGTAACTGTATTTGAAGTTTCACCGATTGAAAATGCAGTGACTACAATGAGATCCAAGAATAGAGAATTATTGATCTTAGAATCTAAATATAGGGCATTCCTTAATTCCAATAAAGTGGGAACTGCCAAGGTCAACACTAATCCTTTATCAATGTCACTAAACGGAGCAGTAGACGCACCTGTAAATGGTGGTGTACCTATGTATAAAAAAGCATTTTTTGATCCTGAATTCATATTGACCAATCCTGATAAAGAATCACTAATAAGAAATTTAAAAGAATCAATTGATGAGCAGGTTTGTAAAATATTATCAAAGTTATGATTAATAAGTTGTTTGTTTAAAATTGAATCATGTCATCATCATCATCATCATTATTATTACAGGTTGAAATTGTTGATAGATGTTTGCAAATACATAATTTCTTGGTGTCACATGAAATGCGGCCATTACACGAAACTTTGGTTAAATGTAATAAGTTTATTATCAATTATATATTCTTTGATATTCATCCAAAATATTTTAAATAACAAATAATTATAACATTTATTTTTAGTTTTCCATAAAAATTTTGCCGAAGAAATTAAACGATTAACAGAACGTAGAAAAGCAAAAAATGAAGAATCAAAACAGATGACTACAAATATCCATCACAATCATCATCAAGTCATATCATCAATTGTTCCATCATCACCGAATTCGCCATTTTCCCCACCATCATTAAATGCCAATAATAATCACCGTATTCCATCGTTTTATGCAGCTTCACAATTAAATGGTGGACAAATATCACCTACATCACCTACATCACCAATTGGTTCATCATCATCGTCATCATCATCAATAATTAATAGGGTTGCAGCAGCAACAGCAAATTTATCTAGATCTTCATCAATGCAAGCTGGTTATAATTATAATAATAGTCTAGCCAACAATAATAATAATCATCAAGTTTTACATAATAAAAGGATATCTGGGCCATTGTCATCTGATGTTAATGGTGGTAACAATAGTATTATTACCAAATCAAATAGTTCTAATGGAATTATACTTTCAGATACTCCAACGCTTGAAAAAAGAAATACCTTGTCAGAAAAGAAAAGATCGTTGATATTTGCTGAAAGAAGAATGACATTCAGAGGCTGGTCATTTAATAGGAATAAAAATCCAACCGATTAATAATTAAATAAATTATACATACTATACACACATACACACACATATATAATATATAGAATAATAGAATTATAATTATTACAGTAGTAGGAATTTTAAAAATCTTTGAGAAATTTATTAATTTTTAATTTTTTTAATTTTTAATTTAATTTATTAATAAAAAAAAAACCAACTTATTTATTTATCTTCCGTCCCATTATTGTATTATGTCTATTACAGCATTCATGATGGTTACGTAATATTTGATAAACATATTTTTCTTAAATTTATAAATGAGAATAAACTGCATCATACAAGCAATAATAATAGTACTAGAAATGAAAATTTGAGGAACAGTTTTGAAAAACCATATAATGTCCTGAGAAAATTTGGAAGATAAGCCCCTGATATTTTTGTTGAATTTAATCCGAGCCTCCCTTCCTTGTCATCCAAGTGGTAATGGGAAAATTTAGTGGTAGAGTCTCTATTTTGGTCTCTAGGTCTCTCTCAATTGTATACAGTTACGAATCGTAAAGAATAACATTGAATCCAACATATTGAGCTTGTGTGTCATATTTAACAAAATTATACATTTTACATCTATGGAGGCCTCCCCGCTATCCCCATGATAGTGATAATGATCCCTGGCAGTGGAATAAATCAAAATCTGCTGGTGGTCATACCAACAATACGTCTACTTCTGCTTGATTCTACTTATTGATTTTAGAATTAGAATATTTATTTGTAATCTTCAAAAATCTAGAATGATATGGACAAGTTCAATGACTCCTACCTATAGCCATTTAATTTTCGATGACATTCATTCACCAAGAATGCAATAAATAAATTAGACTTTTTATTGCCTTTATCTGCTATGTAGCGATTAACTCATCTGCGTCATCTAGAAATAAATTTTACAAAATACCATATATAATATTGTAATATATTACAATTTCTGATATAGCATCTGAAAAAAATTCCTAATGGATACACCTAGATACAGGAGAAGCGGAGAAAGTGATAAAAGTGGTGGTGATTGGGAATGGGAGGTTTATTAATGAAAATAAACATCGTAATATTAGAGAGAATTTAAGAAAATAAATTAACCATAACTACATTTATTTCGTGACTTACTTTCTTCTTAATTACAAAGATCATTTGTCTCATGTTGACTGACAACTTTGGACAAAACGACCGATCATAGTAGAAGCTTCAACACTCTATTAGATTTATTATTCATATTCATATTGTATACGCTATTATTTCAAAGATCCGAAATTCAACTTAATAAAATTCCGAGCCTCTCAGTCACCTTGAAGGTTGTATTAATCCATTTTTCTAAAACGGAACGATCTAAAATTGAAGCATAGAATGATTCTACTTCTTGGGATCAAAATAAACGTTGAAAGTTTATAATTGTTTATCGAACCATCATTTTTCGTAATAATATATTTGATAAGATATTCCCTGCCATCCAGTTACGTGACAATTGACATAATTATTTGTATTAGATCAACGAAACGAAGTAGTCATCATTTCAATATTTGATCATACGTCCTTTTATACCGGGTACAATAAAAAATCAAAAAAAGGTAATTGGATTATAGATTTTTGACACCGAAAAAAGCTACTGGGGCAAAAGCCATTTGATGACCCAACTATCAGTTACATTCGTCCATTAAAAATTAGAAGTATGAATAATTATATGAGTGAAGTATATGAACAGATAGTTACCTCAAAAAAAAAGGTATATAAAATAAATAAATAAATACGAAAAGAATTTTTATTTGATGTTTTTCAGAGAAGCCAAAAAACTATTCGAAGAAGAATAGGTAAAGCAACCTGAGCTCGTGTTAATGAGCGTCAGTAGCAGTTTAAGTTTTCAATATCTTTAAAAAAATTATACATATAACCTTCTTACAAACGAAGTGGCTGGACATACAGTATATGAAATTTTCATTCAAAATTCGTTGAAAATCGCGTTTCATAATCTGTAACAAGATTTTAAAAATTCGCGAATTTAAATATAATTGATTGTATTTTGATACTGTGGCAAAGTGAAAAAAAATCAGAGGTTTAAATTCACAAAATTTTAATGATGGGAGAATCAATAAATCAGTCAATCTATTAATACAATTGATTACTGATCCAACCAAGTGATAATTGTTCCAAAACATTAATTAAATTGTTATACACTTTTTAGAAGTGATGTATATTTAGATGGGGGTTTTGATTTTTTAGAGATTTCATGGTTTTTAATGGTTCAATTGATTTTTTTTTTTGTTGGCAAAAATCTTCAAGAGTAAATTGAACTTGACAAAGATCAAAAGTTTTACATAAAAATAATTTGTACTAAAATTTCTAACATTAGTCCAATTTTTAGTTAATGGATTATAGAATTTTGCAATAACCATTTTTTCAGAAGAATGCCCAATTGCTTCAAATAATAAATCCTCCTCCAATTTATTTTTACCATATTTTTCCACAATAATATGCATATGATAGATAGATAAACAAACACATTTGAACGAAATATAAATTCAAATTAAGAATTTTTGAATAAGTAGTTTAGGCTTAGGAATAGAAATGTAGGAATAGGAATAAGAATAGCATAGAAAATACATATACTTCGTGAAATGTAAGATTTTTAAAAAACAGGAATCATTTAAACAAGACAAAAAGACAAAAACGTCACACCACCTTACTTTTATTAAGACATTGCTGGTCAATGAAAAAGGTGTCCAAAAATTTTGAAATTTTATATATAGTCAGGATTGAGGCTTTGATAAGTGTATGAGATCTTTGTCATCATTGCCTTCTTTTGAATTTGTAAAATTTTGATGTTCCCAGAATATAATTATTAATAAATTCTGATTATACAGTACTTACCAAAAAGTTTCGGACCCCCTAAGTTCATTAATTACGCAAAATACTACATAACATTTACACAAAAAAATTATATTTATTTGTAGCTTAGATTTTCGAGAAACTATATATAAAATTCCAGGCTTTTAGCACCGATAGATCTCAAATAATAATAAATAAAAAATTCCTGATTAATTTTCGAAAATAAAAATTTTGAAGATCAATTTTTTGAATTTTTTGACGGATTTTTTCAACATCAACATTTAAATTTTAAATATATACATTTAAAATTTAATATTTGGTAGGCCATCCATTACTTCCAATGCATGCTTCAATTCTACGAGGCATACTTTCAACTAATTTTAAGTAAACATCATCTGGAATTTTATTCCATTCTTCAACTAAAGCAGCCTCTAATTCTTTCAAATTTTTTTGCCGGTTTTGTTTTTTTTCAAATACGAGTTTCCAATTCATTCCACAAATGTTCAACTGGATTTAGATCAGGAGACTGGCTTGGCCAATTTTCCAAAATTTTTATTTCATTTGTTTTTAACCATTCCTTAACTTTTTTAGCAGTATGAACTGGCGCATTGTCATCTTGGAACAGATAACCTCTATTATTAAAGTCATTGTTTATTAATGGTAGCAAATAAGATTGGAGTATTTTGATGTAATCATGCTGGTTCATTTTTCCATCAACTTTTACTAGTGGTCCTAATCCTTTTCCAGAAAAACAGCCCCAAAACATTACACCACCGTCTCCATGTTTGACTGTGGGGCTCAGATTCTCGATATTGTATCTTGTTCCAGGTATTCTCCAGACACGACCTGGGCCATCATTCCTAAACAAAGTAAACCTACTTTCATCGCTCCATATTACATTTTTCCATTTTCTTATACTCCAATCTTTTCTTTTTAAGCACCAATTCAAACGATTTTGTCTTTGTTCTTCACTAATAAGAGGTTTAGATGCTGGAACACAGGAAAAAATATTGAGATCATGCAAGCTTCTTCTGACTGTGTTTATTGAAACTTTCAAACCAGTTTTTTGATTGAGTTGATTTTTTATTACTTTAGCTGTTTTGTGGTTATTTTTCATGGCAATTTTTTTCAATAATTTTTGATGATCACTATTTAGTATTTTTGGTTGGCCACTTCAAGGCAAGTTTTTAACATCCCCTCTTTCTTCATAATTTTGTATAGTTCGAATAACTGTGGTTTTAGAAAAGCCAAGGATTTTACTAATTTTTGTTTGAAGTATTACCTTTATAAAGACCAATAATTTGACCACGATCAGCTTCAGTTAAATTAGTCATTTTCGTGTTGTTTAAAAATTTATCAAAAAAAAAGATAATAGAATTACGTAGAAAAAAAAATTTTTTTGTTTTTTTTTGAGATTCCAATGATCTTAGACTATCACATATAAAAATTTCAAAACACATTGCTATATAGATTTTGGTGCAATTGTTAAAAAATCACTTGTCAAGATCTTTTATTTTCGAAAATTAATCAGAAATTTTTTATTTATTATTATTTGAGATCTATCAGTTCTAAAAGCCTGGAATTTTATATGTAGTTTCTCGAAAATCTAAGCTATAAATAAATATAAATTTTTTGTGTAAATGTTATGTAGTATTTTGCGTAATTAATGAATTTAGGGGGTCCGAAACTTTTGGGTAAGTATTATTGACATAATCGAAATGCTCTATGCATCAACACTGTTGCTCATTTATTTAACCATGGCAACCAATACAATAGTATAAATTTACAATCTATTATGAAATGATAACATTGCTCTTTATTTAAACACGAGTGACCTATATAGGTATACATGCCATGTGCACAATACATGTTGTTTCAGACATTCCATAATAAAATATTAACAAGACATTATAACATACATGTAACCAGATATTTGAGAATATCTGTAATTCCTGGGATTTAAACTTTTCTCAAATTTCAGACTTACAACTATTGTCAATACACATGGTAGCCTTGACTTGATCATGCCATCATAATCTTCTTCTTCCTTTGGATTTGTTGAAATTACAATGTGCTCAGAATATAAGTCTTTTATCATCACTAATAAATTCTGATTATATTGTTATCATCATTGCACACCATCAAATGCTTTATGCATCACAAATCATCATGCATTAACACTGTTGTTTATTTAAACATAGCAACCCATACCATAGTATAGGTTTACAAGTTGAGTATGTGCATGATAATATCTGATTATTTGTACTCAAATCCTTTGAATCAAACAAGACTTGTAACTGTATTGATACTGCACAATATACATACAAACCTTGTCACAGCAGACATATTTAAATTCTTGCCATAGTTGATTTTGATTCACATAAAATCCATTGTGTCCCATTCATCCACTGTGAGAAGGTTTGACTGTAAACAAACCATTCCATGATCTACCATGAAATGATAACCATTGCTCATTTTTTAAACATGAGTGACCTATATAGGTCTACATGTCAAATATATGCACAATACTATTGTCTCAGATAATTCATAATAAAAATATCAGACAATGCATTATAACATACATGTAACCGGACTTGCAACTATCAATCAATACACATGGTAGTCTTATCTTTTCTTTGGATTTGTTAAAATTATGATGTGCTCAGAATATAAGTCTTTTGTCATCACTGATAAATTCTGATTATATTGTTATCATCATTGCACATCACTGAAATTCTTTATGCATTCTCAAAATGCATTAAAATGCATTATTTATACCTCACAAAATTATCATGCATCAATACAGTTGCTCATTTAAAAATAGCAACCTATACAATAGTATGGGTTTACAAGTTGAGCATGTGCACTACACTCATCCAGATTATATCTGATCGCCTAGACTCAAATCCTTTGAATCAAATTAGACTTGCAACCATATTGATCCCGCATGATATGAAGCTAACCATTCTACAATCTATCAATAACCATTGCTCTTCATTTAAAAGCATGAGCAACCTATAGTTGTATACATGCAGGCACGTGCACAGAGTACCTGTTGTCTAAGACACATGATAACCTTTTGAGTATACATTTAACCATATATTCAAGAATATATGTATGCCTGGGATTTTTCAATCACCAAACTTGCAAATATATCAATAAATGCATGGTAGCTTCTTGAAATTATGATGTACTCAGAATATAATATTTTTATCATTAATGATAAATTATGATTATGTTTCCATCATTATACATCATCAAAATGCTTTACACATTGTTGATCTATCATGAATGCATCAATTTAAACAAGCAACCTATATGATATGTTTACTAGTCCCTAAAATTGAATCCTTCAAATCAAACTATACTTGCGACCATATCAATACATGTGGTGGAGATTTGTCTTATTTTCTTTGTCATCTTTAATTCTTTTTTTGTTGCTGTTAGCCAAACATGTTACCTTATAAAAATTGTGAAAAGATAAGAAATGATGCCTCACAAATCCAGTTTATTTATATCGCTTCATTCACTACTTGCTAGAAAAAAAATTACATGATTAGTAATTATGTTACCCCAACCATTTGCCAGATCCTTTCTTTGTAAAGCAAGTCAGATCACAAGCGCCAAGCACTAAATATATGAGCCATAGACTATATTTCACCTTTTATGGGAAATTAAACCTTTCATTCTGGTGATCGCTTTTGTAGAATGAAAGATAAGTCAAATTTTGGCAATCTTTGGAGATGGTAGATCTCAAGTTCCATAATATATGAATTTGATATTATTACTGATAAAGAACAATAAGCTCTCCTCCTTCATAACCTTTTTGAGTCTCATTCATGGTTGTTTTATCGGAAAGCCATATACAATAAGAAAAAGGCTTTATTGCTATATACAATATGGAAAAAAATAGTATATAACAACCTTTGTTCCACAAGATTAATTGTGATATATACAACTATCCACAATTTATTCATATATAGAA